ATTCTGCCAGGTTGCCCAGACAGGAGCAGTGGAGATGGCGGGTTCGGGTCCGAACCGCGAACCTTCCGATCCGTAGGTTAGCGCCTTAACCATTGAGCCATCTCGAGCTCTCGAGCTAAGGTTGAGCCGAAGCTGATGGACGGAGTGACTTAGACCTGATTTGGTTAGCCGTTAATGAAGGGTAAATAAAAGAACACGTTTATTTCTGAGATATGGATAGGTTGATGATTTCCATTGTCCGTGACGAATCTTTCGGGATACCGGTTTTATGTCATGGTTTCCTGAAAGAGCGAGTTGATAGGCCGCACAGAAAATCCTAACCCTGTGAGACAACAGAGCCTGTAGCGGGTCTAGCCTGTAGGCTGTGGATGGAAAATCCCATGCGCCCTTGCGGCAGACTGAGCGTTGCAAAGTTCCGCCAGTATGCTGGTGAGCAGTACACCTGAAGATGTCGAACTACCAGTGGTTCGGTCGGACGGATAGAAAATAAACTGTACAACAGAGGGAAAGGACAAATTGTTATCGAAAAACACTCGTTCGCCCCTCTAGTTTGTGTGATCCTGTGGCGCGTAATTGGAACTCCAAATTTCTTGAGTCAGTCGACGCTATTTTACTCAGGACATCTGTTGCTTATGCACCAAAGAAGTTGACCAAAGACGTCTATCCACTTCCTTAGTGCTCTCAATTGTGCTTTGTTTTTTTGCTTTTCTGTTTGCTCTACACCATACATATATTGTGTCCACAATAGGTGAGTTGTTAACACCTCGCTGCGGTGGAGTGAGTTCATCGATTACAAGATGAAAAAAACAAACTCTACCTACCCTGAGTCTGTCCACAACAGATATGGGGGCGACCCATTGCTGCGAGCTCAGATCGCCATCCTCCAAACCGGCTTCGTTAAGAGGAGCGGGCGCTGCATGCTCGGAACCGGAGAGCTCAACAAGACTGAATATCCTGGCACCGGTTTCGTCGATATGTGGCGCAGGGAATTCCGAAGTATTTCGGTTGAGATAGTCCAGTGGATTAAGCCAACAAGTAATCCCACGGTCGAGGAACATATGAGGTGAGGTGGCTCGGAACTTGGCACGAAGGTGTTCCATTGTGAGGGCAGGTGTTGGATCGTTGACTACCCAAGGATGTTTGCTGATCTGTTCCAAAGTGTACCGTTTCTTGAAAGTGTGTGAAAAGAGATGAACGTACCAGGTGTGATTATCAGTAGCCCGAGTAAAGAATTACTGTGATCTTTAAAAAAAAGACGAGCCAAGCAAAGGATCAACAGCTTCCGTCCCTACGGTAGACCGCCTTTGAGAGGTAACAGTGGCTAGTAAGTTTCGTTTGTGAATATCTCAGACTGAGCGTGGTGGATAAAAAGTGACATCATGTTTCGAAAGGTGGATAGGAAGTTGGAAAATCACAGCCTAGTTTATTTTACGTATCCGAATAGCGGTAACATGTTTACTTTGACACTTAGTCTTGACAGGAAACTGACCAAGGGGTCTCAGCTCGATTTCGCTTTTGTTGATCAACACACAATGAACTTAGCCAGTTGTCTCCGCCTACCTTCCCCTAAAATGGATGAAATGCATCCAGAATAAGTTGTATCAAGACCAAACCTGAGCGGCCAGACTTCGTGACAAAGTCTACCCATGGTGGGGACATGACCGCATCAATTTAAAACCTTACGGTCAAATCGACAAAAGCTCAAATCTATTAGCAATACACAAACTTATGTCATCTCAATTTGTTGATATGGTCCACAGATCCATTGCAACAATAGCTGTAGCACCCTTTCGGTGCCTAGC